GCTTCATTTTTTCCAAGAATCCTAGTTGAGCTTATGTCCATGATGTGTTTTTCTCTGGGGAACTGCTTGCAGATATTTTAGAGTCACTGTCATCTCCTGTGTTTTTGTCTCCAGCATCCATCACCACAATAGCTCATCATTGTGGGTGTTCTTTTTTGTTTGCCCTTTTTTCCAACCTAATTCCTCACTTTGGAATTAATGTTAGGCTTGGGATCTGTTGAACTTCTGGAGGGGAGGTTTAGGCTTCTTTGGTATCTTGAGGGTTGAGACAGACAGGAGGCCTGTCTGGTGAGGAAGGGGATCTACAAGCTTCCAGCATTCCCTAAGTGATCTGGTCCAGAGCAAAGTCTGATTGGTGCCCCTTTTTCCGAGTTCCGCTAAGTTCCTAAACTGGGTTTGGGTCTGTACAAGAGTAAATTGCTGCTGGACTTGGCTCCTTATCAACCAGTTAGAATGCTCTATTGATTCAGAGTGGCAGAACTGTAGGTTCCCCTTTTGTCTGGATTTCCTGCCCTGGTTGCTCCTTTCTAGGCTGGGATAGATGCTGGAAATGAGGCCCTTCACTTGGGGTCTAAATTACATTGCTGCCGCTGGCTTTTGAATATCCTCCTTTCTCTGTATCCCACCCAGGGCCTCTCTACCTGGGCCTCTGCACAGGACTCCTTCTCAGTCTGACCTGATTCTATGAAAAGTATGTGAAGGCAAGTAAGGTATAAAAAGACTAGAAAGGTAGAAAGGGACTAAGTTACAGAAGTCTTTGAATGATAAACACAAGATTTTGAATTTGATCCTGGAGGTGATAGGGAGCCATTGGAGTTTATTGCATGTGGAAGGGGAAAGGGAGAGGCAGTGACATAGTCAGACCTGTGCTTTGAGGAATAATACAAGCAGGATTGGGAAATTTCTCAACCCCATGGGGACAGCTGAGTATATTAGGACAGAACAAGAGAAGGATGGGAGGAGCACAGCTAAGAACACAATCCCTTAAGCTCCTCATAGAAAAACAGGGAAAAGAAATGACCCAGAAGAAAGGTAAGAGAAGAGGACAAGAAAACATGGGGTAGGCTCAGAAAAGCTTCTCGTATTTGCTTTCAAGAGATAGAGACTATAAAAAATATCTCTCACCTGAAGAGGTCTGAGGGCCATAAGCAGAGTGCTCTGGTGGTAGAGAGATCAGTGTAGAAATAGGCCAGTCTACAGTGCTTCCAGGGACTGTGCAAAGTGCTAAGAATACAAAGAAAGGGGAAAAAAAGTTTTTGCTCTCAAGGAGCTCACAGTCTAACAGAAAAACATGAAAACAATGTACATGCAGGATATATACAGGATAAATTGGAGATAATCTCAGAGGGAGGGCACTAAGATTAAGGAGTCTGGGAAAGGATTCTTGAAGAAGGTGGAATTTTAGCTGAGCCTTGAAGGAAGCCAGAAGGCAGAAATTAGGAAAAGAGTGCTAGGACAGCCTGGATGTGAGAGATGGATAGTTGTATGCAAGGAACAGCAAGAAAGCCAATGTTACTAGACTGAAAAGTACGTGGAAGTGTAAGGTGTAAGATTAGAAAGGTAGAAACAGATCAGGTGATGAATGGCTTTAAAGGCCTAACACAGAATTTTATATTTGATCCTGGAGGCAACAGGGAGCCCTGAAGTTTAGTGAATGGGAGGTGGGGGGAACACATAGTCATATCTATGTACAGGACAGATTTGTTACCAGAGCTTCCTTCAAGAGAGAAATATGTGGTTCCAGAGATTTTTCAGGGGAGATATGTGGAAAAATGAGAGATTTTGGAAACTTGAGACATATAGGGGAAAAGCTGGCTTTTCAACACATTCCTGATTTCTACAATTACTTCCCTAGACTCTGGAGAATTTCCCTTGGGTGAGAGCAGACTCTCTTCTCTTTTCCCTCTACAATATCTCATTTGGTGATCTTATTAGCCACTATGGGTTCAACCGTCATCTCTACAAAGATGATTCTCAGAGCTACACATCCAGCCCCAGGCTCTCTCTCAACTTACAGTCCTTCATCACCAACATCACCTTTTATACATCTTGAACTAGTTACTCTGTAGGAAGGCAGTCAACAACCATTTATTAAATGACTACTATGTGTCAAGCACTACGCTAAGTGCTGGGGATACAAAGAAAGACAAAAACAAGAAACAGTTATTGCTCTCACAGAGCTCACTGACTAATGGAGGAGATAACCTTCAAACAACTATATACTAATAGGATATATACAGGATAAACCAGGGGCAGTCTCAGAAGGAAGGCACTAAGATTAAGGAGGACTGGGAATGGCTTCTTCCAGAAGGCTAGATTTAAGATGTGCCTTGAGGGAAGCCAAAGAATGTACATGGAGATGAAGAGGGAGAGAGTTCCAGGTATGGAGGATAGCCAGTGAAAATGTGTAAGGTAGGGAGACAGAAATGTTATGTGCAAGGGGACCAGTGTCACTGGATCACAGAGAACATAGAGGGGAGTAAGCTGCAAGAAGACTCGAAAGGTAAGAAGGACTCAGATACCGGAAAGTTTTAGAAGTCAAACAAAGGATTTTATATTTGTTCCTGGAGGTGATAGGGAGCCACTGGAATTTACTGAATAGAGCAGTGATATGCCTGCAATTTAGGAAGAACAATTTGACACAATTCAACAGCTGAGTGAAGGATAGAATGCAGTAGGGAAAGACTCAAGGCAGGAGATCAACCACCAAGCTATTTCAATAGCTTAGGTATGAGGTGAGAAGGGATTGTACCAGGGTGGTAGCAGTTTCAAAAGAGAGAAGGGGGCATAAACAAGAGATCTTACAAAGGAAGAAAAGGACTTGGCAACTGATTGGTTATGGGGTGGGTTAGAGAGTATGAGGAGTCGATGATGACACTGTACTGAGAGAACTCATTATCTTTTCCTGAAAACTCTCTGCTCTTCTAAATTTTCTTAGTATGCTCAAGGTACCAACAACTTTCCAGGAATCCAAGTTTGCAACCTAAATTTCATTCTCCTTCCTCATTCTCAGTCACTCCATATTTCCAATCTATTGACAAATGTAACAATTTTTTGTCTTTCACAACATAACTCATATACATCATCTTCTATCTACTAACACAGAGACTACCCTAGTTCAGGCCTTCATCACCTCTTACCTGGACTACTTGAAGAGCTTTCTAATTGGCCATTCTGCTTTAAATATCTCTCCATTTTAATCCATCTTCCACTTGGCTCCCAAAACAACTATCCTAAAGTCAATAAACACCAGTGGTTCCTTATGACCTCTAGGATCAAATAACTCCATTTATCAGGTAAAACTTTTCATAACTTGGCCCTTTCTGACCATTCTAATCTTCTTACACTTTACCCTCCTCCACATACTCTATCATCCAGCTATCCTGGCCCATCTGCTTTTTTCTTATACATGAAAATTAATATTCTATCTCTCTGTCCTTGCTATCCAACATGCCTGGAATGCTCTCCCTCCTCAATTCTGCCTGTTTCCATCAATATTCAGCTCAAATTCCATCTGTTGTAGGAGGTCTTTCTCAGTCCCCCTCACCTTTTCCTCTTATACTACCTTCTATCTACCCTGCACACATCTTGCCTGTAGCTAGTTTTTATATGTTGCTTTTCTTTGGAATGTGAGCTCCTTGAGGGTAGGGGCTGTTTTTGCCTTTCTTTGTATCCTCAGAGATTAGCACAGTGTCTGGCACATAGTAAGCACTTAGTAAATCCTTTTCAACTGACTGCAGATGGTGAGAATTTTGGACTAGAATTTTCATGAGTGGTCAGAGATGAAGCTATAGATTTTGTGTCATGAGCATAGAATGAATAATAAAAGCTATGAGACAGGATCAGTGAGATAAGATCCCAACAAGAAGAGCAGGGGGTGAAGCAAGAAGAGAATCCAGCTTGGGAAATAGAGAATAAGAAGTAACACAGATAGGAAAACAGAAAAGCATAATTTGTGAAGAGTCAAAGGAGAAGAATACAAAGAAGAAGGTTACCAGTAATATAAAATGTGCTGGAGAGGTCAAGAATGAGAACTGACCTATAATAATAACAGTAATAATGATAACAATAGCTACTGTTTTTACATGGAACTTTAACATCTGAAAAGTGTTATACATATGTTATCTCATTTTGATTCCAAGAATTCCTTATGTGTCAATGTGACATAGGCATATGTGTGATCAAGGGCAGGCAGAAAAAGAAAGGCACACTGAAAGTGAGTCCTGAGGTTAGTGCAAGAGTTAATATTACAAATATATTACACTAGTATGGCAAACTATGCAGATATATATGCTTACCTATTCTTTCACTAAATGCATGAGGCTAATGAGGAAGTTTTTATTGAGTTTTTTATTGAGTTTTTTAATTGGGTGAGTTTTATATTCAGATAAAATGAGAGTCAGGGAGGAAATTACCACCTCAATTCTAGCTATTTTGGAAAGGTTTAGTGAGAGAAGTGAGGTCTTTTTTAATGGTTTTTATTTCTAAGGCAAAATGATTGGGGCCAGAGGAGATATAGTCAAGAGGCCTCTGAAGCTGAAGGGTTCTACTTATTCACAGATTAGTTCAGCACAGGAAGTACCAGCTAAAATAAATTTCACACTGCTTTCTCAACAAACAAAACCAAGTTCAGCTTTTAGCAGCTTATCCCCAGGGAAGGTCAACTAAGTAACTTAAATTAGCACCAAAATCAGGTATGTATTTCCTGAGCTAGAAGTCTAGCAAAACTTGACATAAACAGAATTGCAGAATGCCAAAATTCTTTACTCAAATCGATTAATGAAAAAAAAAAACTTCCTGAAAATGCTTATATTTGTCAGATTAAATTTGGCTTAATTTGAAGTCTCTCTTTTCCCTTATAGCCTTGAAGAGATGTTACTGATTTCATACAATTCCTTATATCATATGGACCCATTTTAATCAGATGGGCTTTAGATGTCTGGGGTATCCAGCAGTACTATACTATTTCATCTGCACCATATGCTTTGGAGACATACTACCTTATTAAGGTTCAGTATACGAAAAAACTCCTTCTGATTCTGCTGGAAAACTTTTATTCCTTCCTCCACAGTAACACAACTGTCATAGGCCAGGCAATCACTGAGAAATATTTTAGCATCAGCCAACTTGTGGAACTCACTTTTCTGCAAAAGTAAAGAAATAAATTACAACTTGATTAACCTGATTTCTACAACAAAATCACTTTGAATTTAATTTTTTATTATTTTTTAATTAATTCATTTATTTTTAGTTTTCAACATTCACTTCCACAAGATTTTGAGTTCCAAATTTTCTCCCCATCTCTCCCTTCCCCCCACCCCAAGATGGCATGCATTGAATTTAGTTTCTTGAAGAATTAACACTGTAAAATCAACATTTGGGAAAATCTCAAGGGAATGGATTGCTACATTACTAAAACACAAATAGCTCCCATATCTATAGTACTTTACAATTTACAACAGCTTTGTAAAGTGGGTAGTTAGATGCATCATCCTAATTTTCTAGATGAGGAAACTATGTCTCAGAGAAGTTAAATAACTTGCCCAAGTTCCCAAAGAAACAGAACTTAAATTCAGGTTATCTGACTTCTGCCTCCAAGTGAAAGCTAGCTAGAATCATTTCCGTGTGATGACTGACAACTTAAGGAAATTTCATCAAGCAATTCATTTATTGTCAGCAATTTTTGGAATGCTTCCTTAACACATGGTAGAAGAGAAACCTTTTAAAATTAATATGTAGAATTCTGATAAGGGTTTTGACCCACTAATAGCCCCCAGTACCAAAGTTTCAAATTTCCCTTTCCCATGTTACCATTTCTCTATTTATCAATCATATTTAGAAATTTATAATAGAGAAATGCTTACAGGGAACACAGCTAATAGCTAAATCAGAGAAGAAACTTTTGTATCAAAATCAGGATAAGAAAAACAAACTTCTTTCAAAGCACTTTTGAAATGGAAGGGATAACTAGTCCAATCCCTACATTTTACCACCGAGGAAACTTCCCAGACATAAACATCAAACTTATGGCTCAAAAAAGTACAATAGAGGACTACAGAAATGGAAGCTGCTTCTTATCTGGAGTAATTTCAGTAGCACCTATCCTAACTTGTGATTATGGTGTAGCTAATTTTTTTATGCCTTTATTTTAAAAATCATACTCTAATATGTTTTCTTTGAGAACTTTTTAGGGAGCTATCGTGGGCATTCAAAAAAATAGTCATATATGAAAGCTATTTTTTCAACCCTTACAATTTCCATTTGTATCTTCTTGAAAAGGATTACTTTTGTTGCACCTGACACAGATCCCCAATGAGAAGAAAAGCATTATGCTTGGGAGCAACAAAAAGTTTTAAAATACACTCACCTCTTCATGTTCACTGTTAAAGTCTGGTGTATCAAGTGATACATTTTGTTGGTCATCAGTGTTTGTTTTTTTAATACATTCCTTTAAAAAGGGAGAAAAGAGAGGAAATAAATGCCAGCAACATTAGTGCCACCACACAGATCTCTATAAGAAAGCTAAAGACTTTATCTCTTATATTTGTGGGGTGGTGACTCATGGGAAAATTTGTTACTTGGCCTATGACAGCTCCAAAAAATATTTTTGGTTGATAGGAAATGATAATAACTAACAGTTTGTTACATAGCACTTTAAGATCTGCAAAGCTTTATGAACATACATTCTCATTTGAGTCTCACAGCCCTCTCAGTTTTAAAGGCCAAACAAATGAACCAATAAAATCTACAAAAACTATTTAGCCATCCCAAAATACCAAAAAATTAACTCTAAATGATATAAAAAAATTCAATAGCACCAAATAATTTGTTTGCAGGTACACAAATTAATTAGATTCAATGCAATATGTTTATAGTACTTCATTTAATATCCTCTCTAGCTCTTACCAAAAAATCAATCAAGCAAACAATCAACACCATTTATATGGGGACACAAATAAAAAGAATGAAAAATTCGGACGTGCAATGAGCTTATGCCCTAATGGGTATGACACATAGTACCCTACATAAGTATATAGAGAATACATATAAAGAGCATATGTACAAATAAAGGTACTAAAAATAGAAAAAGCATGCTGGAAAAAACACGTTTTTCAAATTAATGGGCTACATTGGGAACAGAGAAGCAATTCTGATCCTTGGTTTAGCTGTCATTAATCTATTTTGAGGAAAAGACTTTTTTATTACCCGGTGTTTCATTCCTAGATCCACTGATCCGAAACCGTTTAAAGTTCAAAGCCACAAAACAAATACTAAAGTTTCTCAACAACCCACTATCCAGCCGACTCATCTACCCTTCCTTCTGCGGCTGTGCAGTGTGCTTATGAAAAATGGACACCTTTACAAACAAGCAAAACCATTACATAGCGGGTTCTATAACACCGACAAATCAAATAGAAAATAATTTAAACACTCACCTTCTTTGTGCAATTTTCACACTTCATTTGGAGAGTTGTTTTTAATTGCTGTTTTAGCACAAATATCGGGAAGGTAGGTTCAGAGTCTGGTCTTCGTGTGTGTTTCGATACGGACTGACTAGGAAGAACGAAGAAAAGAGACGTATTCAGAAAGTGTATTTTTCTGCTCTCAGAAAAAATGCCTCACAAAGAACATATATCACACCAGTTCTTCAATCCCACTCAAATGAATTTCAGTTCCTGCTGCCCTTTGTTAGCATTGCCCTGCTCCCCTTTTTTCAGTAGGCTGCTCCTTGATTGGCACTTCTTAATCGCCAATGAGAATTCAAAGAGTGGGAGGGTTAGAAATACAAGAACCAATCTAAATTTCCAAGAGGCAGCTCTTCCAGCTCTATGTCCTTCAGCAGTGGTATGAGATAAAAGTTGTTAGTGGTTATTACGTTCTAATTTTCAATAATTCTTAGAAAGAAATTATTCCTCACCTCCATACTATGCGCTATAGGTGAAAAAATGTTAAAAAAATATACGTCTCCATGTAAACATAAAGGATTAAAACAGAACAGTTTTGTTCATAACTTTAGGAGTTGTGACATTTTGATTTAATCCTTAGGTAGAAAACCAGCAAAGTTTGACCCTAGAAGGAAACTGCGAGTTGCAGAATGCGGAGGATTTTTTTTTCCACTTTGGCTGTCGCAAAAATTCAAACCAAGCGCAAGAGGAATACCAAGCACAAAATCGTTAAAATGAGGGGTTGGGCGGGGCCTTAGAGATGGACAGGACCATAGAATTTAGAGCGGGGGAGGCCTTTCGGGGTTATCTAGTCCACCACCCCTCTCGTTTTAGAGCTTAATCTCTCTAAGAAAGAAGGAGTGGGGTGGGTCTTTAATAGATGTTTTTTAAAATGAGGAAACTGAAGATAAGAGAGATCTCGGAAAGGTCAGGGCTCTTAGCTCAGACTTTAATGAAAATAGAGACATCATGCCATAGGATTAAGGTTGAGAAATGTGAAAGCAGTTCTTAAATTGAGGTTCTTAGAATCTATATAATTTTTTCATCCGCTCAACATTTTCTGTATCTCAATTATTATAGAAACCTATTGTATAGAATAGAATTATAGATTGAAGCCTTGTATCCTTAACATTTACAAAAATCCTCTCATTCTCATCGCGGACAATTCGTTTAAAATTCCGCTGAAAAGAGGGTAATTAAGATCCCATTTCCAGAACTCGTTACCTTTGCCAGATGTATTTGGATGACTGGGAGGGGCGGGAGGAGGAGGGGAGGCGGGCATTATTGCTGGGTCACATAAAAAGCACTAAGATACGCGCTAGGGTAGGACCAAATAACAAGAGGGCAGATAAATCATTAAGCCGGGGAGGGAGGTGGATTTAGTACGTTGCAGTTGACTTCATTTTTAAACCATAATAACTTACAGCCCTGGTAGAAATAACAAAAATTAGAGGCTTAAAAATAATTCATTTTCCTTTAATATCATCATCCTCGTTTAAAAAGCAAAAATCTTCGCAAGCACAAAAATGTAATAATTTTCTAAAATTAACCAGTTTCACTATTTTATTTTGAAAAATACATTTGGGTTTCATTCTTCATGCTCGAAAAATATTCATAGTAAACCTGACAGGTGTCACGTACACTCAGGCTGGGTTTTGCTAAAAAGCCGCAGTGCCTCCTTGCTGCAGAATGTGAAACTAGTTCCCATACCCCTTTCTCGTGGCCCTGAGAATTCGTCTTAGGGTTTTGATCTGTTTCCCTTTTCCATTTGTCCTTGAAAGGCGTAGGCAAGGGAGTTGGTGTAGGGAATGGAACTCCCTAACCTAGGAGCTCAAGTCATGGAGATATTACAGCCCAGATTCCAGAAAAGAATTCAGCCCAGACTTGAAGACTGGAAGAACAATGGTTCTGGATGCTAATCCAGAATAGTTTAGGACTTCAGCTTGTTGCTTCTTATACTACATAGGAAATTAGTTAAACTGTGAGCTGAATCCTCTCCTTAGAGTCCTAGGTGGGGTAGAGTGAATTATGTTCCTGAGGTGTTAGGAGGGAAAATGTACGTTGATCTTGTTATACCTTTGAAGTAAAAAAAAAAAAAGCTAATCACAGTTCTAATTAACTGGAGCAGGGGAGTTAGTCACTGAGCCTTTAAATGAGGAAGAGGCGAAATGTAAGAGACGTGATCCTCAGAAAGTGGGGCCAGAGCATGTTAAAAATGTAAAGCACTTGACAAAAATTGTAAATTAATGGAGTGCCTACTTACTAGGGAATGGCTTAAGAAACTGATGGCGCAGAGCAGCTAGGTGGCGCAGTGGATAGAGCACCAGCCCTGGAGTCAGGAGGACCTGAGTTTAAATCTGGCCTCAGACACATGATACTCACTAGCTATGTGACCCTAGGCTAGTCACATAACCCCCATTGCCTCACCAAAAACAAAAAATTGATGGGGCAGCTATGTGGCTATAGTGGATAGAGTGATGGGCCTGAAGTCAGAAAGACTCATTTTACTGAGTTCAAATGTGACAGTCAGACACCTACTACTAGCTGTGTGGTCTGGGACAAGTCACTTAACCCTGTTTGCCTCAGTTCCTCATCTGAGAAAAGAAATGGCAAGCCACTCCAGTATCTTTGCCAAGAAGACCCCAAATGGAGTCACGAAGAGTTGAAAAGATTGAACTACAAAGTAAAGTAGATGAATGTAATGGAATATTATTGGAATTACAAAATGGATGTTTTTAAAAGGAAACTTGGGAAAACCTCTGGTCTGATGCAGAATTAAGTAAGCAAAACTAGAATATTTACACAATGACATCAAAGAGAAAAACAATTTTGAAAGACTTTACAATTTTGGTTAATGCAATCATAAATTCAAGAAGACTCAGGCTACCCACTTCCTGTCAGAGATATGATAGACTTAAAATCCTGAATGAGACATACATTTTTGGATATATCCAATATGGGAATTTGTTTTGCTGAACTATACATTTTTGTTAAGAGGATTTTAAAAAAATTGTTCATTGGGGAAGGCGGAGGAGAAATAATAATAGCTTATGTAAATAAATATTTTAAAAATCTTAGTTATTATTATAATTATCTTTATTATTATTAAGTCTAGAAAATAAAACTGGTAAATTAGGCTTCTCACCATCATTCTTCCCACTCTTTAATCTTGAAGCCCTAACTTTCCATGGTCCACATGTGATCCTTAGTTATTCCCCTACACATCACACCATATACCAAATACAATACAACACCCTTTCCAACCAAGCCACAAGCTACCACATCAATTTTGCAGTAGGAGGTGGTCCATTAAATAAAACTCATCTAAAGCTACATTACATTAAAATGGCCCCTTATTTATTGTCCCAATATAATTTTTTAAATTACATTTTAAAAATTAAACACTGTATTTATTTTCTTTCCCTCCCACACCACCCCTCTGGAAAAACAAAAACTTTGTAACAAATATGCATAGTCAAGCAAAACAAATTCCTATATTGGCTATGTCCAAGAATGTGTCTTATTCTGTATATTTAATCCATTACCTCTCTATCAGAAGGTAAGTAGCATTTTTTAGCATCATTCTTCTGGAATTGTGGTTGATCATTGCATTGATCAGAATTCTTGACTTTCAAGATTGTTTTTAAGTGTTGTTGTATAAAATATTTTCCTGTCTCTGCTCACTTCACTCTGCATCAGTGCATACAAGTCTTCTCAGGTTTCTCTGAAACCATCCCTTTCACCATTTCTTACAGCACAAAATATTCCATTATATTCATATGCCATTAGTCATTTCCCAATTGATCAGTACCCTCTGGTTACAATTTTGTCACCATAAAAAAAAATACTTCTGTAAGTGGTAATATAACTGGGTCAAAGAGTTGGTTGCACAGTATAGTAACTTTTGGGTCATGGTTTCAAATAACCTAGTATAGTGACAGAGCTTTTTAAAGTGCTTTAGGAAATTCTTAGAGAACAAGTAATATAAAAATTTTTCAAAGAAATTTGTGAAGATTTTTACAAAATGATCCAGAGTGAAAAAATGAAGAAACCTTTCCTTGACACTACTATTGTCTCAAGTTATCACACTATATTTATCATACAAACTCCTAAGAGGGGAGGAACTACCTTCATTTGTTGCCCCTCCTCTCACGACCTTCTCAATTGGTAGATAATTTTCTCCTGTTTTTAGCTGAGATCTTTTTTCATTCCCAGCTGAAGAACTCACTAACTTTTTTTTTCAGCCAAAGACAAGGTTTATTAGAACATCTGTCATGTTGGCCAGACTCTTAAAGGAATCTGAACATTACTGAGCTATTGGCTAGATTATAAGAATCTAAACAGTGGCTAGATTTTAAGAATCTGAGCAGTGCCTAGACTCTTATATTTTTCAGAAATCAAGATTACTCAAGGAGAAAAGGTAAACCCTGCCCTTTTCCAAGACCAGCTGGTAGTAGCTATTAAGAAGTATACAAATTTAGATCCTGACTCTATAGAAGGGGAAGCAATCCTTAGCATATATTTCATTAATCTGCTCCGGATATTAGGAGGAAACTTCAGAAATTGGCAATGGGACCCCAAACACCTCAGGCCCAATTACTGGCGATGGCCTTTGGAGTTTTTTACAATAGAGACAGTAGCAGCAGAGGAAAGAGAAAGAAGGGAAAGGGCTAGAGACAGAGAACATGCTCAATTCTTGGCTGCTGCCATGACCAGGAAAAGATCCAAGGGTGCTCCTGGCAACTCCAGCAGTGGGGAAACCTCATTTCGGTGCCACCAGGAAGGTCACTGGTCCAAGGAGTGCCCCTCCAGGGCACCCCCCCAGAGGAAGCCCCCAAGACCAGTTCTCTCTGGGACCATGCCCAAGATGTGACCCCAGGAGGGATATTGGAGGAAGGATTGTCCCCAAGGTTGGAAAAGTGGTGAAGTCACCCCCCCCCAGTTCCCTGTCCTCTAGTCTTCTCAAGACTGGGAATGACAGAGGAACCTGGGGCTTGGCAGTGCTCCCACTTTCTTCATCTCTCTTGATGAAGGTAAGGTTACCCACTTTATCATGGTTATGTTCTCTGTTTTAACCAATTACTCTGGTCCTACTCCCCCCTTGACCCATCAGGTCATGGGCATTGAAGGGAAAACTAAGGGATGTCTCCAGATATAACCCTTCCCCTACCTATTTGAGGATCTATTATTTGAACACTCCTTTTTTTTTTCCAAAGGCAATTATGGTTAAGTGACTTGCCCAGGGTCTCATA